GCTAAAAATCTGAAGTTGTAGAGACGACGACTATAGTATCATCCATTTTTTTAAAGCACACCATAGGTCACCTCTGCAGCTGCTGTCTATTTATTTGACCTCAGCTTTTGTCTGGATGTCCCCTAAGCAAAGAAATGTGACTCACCGCCTGTGGGCGCTAAGACTTGCACCTGCACAAAGGCAGCAGATCACAAAATCAGGTTTGTTGGAATGTGCTGCAAGGTTTCTACTAGGGTATCATTACATGCACTGAATGAGATGATAATAGCAGCAAAAAGAGAAAGAGAGCTATACTATATTAGGTGACTTGCTTACGTGTGAATTACAATGCCATTTTGAAATTCATCATGATAAAGAAATAAACCTTTCCTCGATATTACGATTACAAATTGGAAAATTGACAATCAGACATAACTATTGCCTTTTGGCTGAGTTACTAACTGCTGAAAGTGACATCGGCCAACAGAGCATGGAAAAACGCTGACGTATATGGGTGCTTTCTTAGTTTGTTTTAAATACCACACTTGTTCACAGCCAATTTTACAGGAACAAGATTAAACTTCCGACCACTTGTAATGCTATACAACAGTGGTTTGATGAGGTTTTTGGAGGTCAAAACATTAAGAAATGGTTGTAAAAAAGGCAAAACAAACTAAATAACTGGCAATCATCCATACAAAGAGAATAATATAAGTAATATGGGTAAGTCATATGAGCTTAAACAGACCTGGAATGCTTGTCTCACACAATGGAGCTTGGCAAGGAAGTCTTGATCACCAAAACATTCAAGTAATTCAGTCCTGGTAAATAGAGAGAGAGGTATGAAGCTCAGTGACACATCGTTCTATTATCCACTGTACATTTAAAGCAGAATAAATAGATTTTTGGCAGCTTAGGAGAAGTGGAACATGCTATCAATATTGACATTATTCATTTGGAGTCGTGTTTCTGGTCACTTGATGTTACGTCCCTCGTCCGCTCTCTTTTAAGCTCTGTTTTTGTTTTCACCAAACTCCTGAGAAAAAATATCTGTCTCTTTAGCTGCTAAATGCTCCAATATGTTCCCCAGCTAGTTTCTAACTTTGTCTGTTTTGGAGCTTTTTTGGTGAAAGCAGCTGCCTGCTGCATGTGGAAATGACGCTGATGAGAGCAGGGAGGATGAACCGAAACAGACGCAAAATTAGTGGGCTGAAAAACCAAAACAATGAGCCGAAAGACATTAAAACATTCCATAGAGCCGAGGGTAACTGCAAAGTAGTGGTAATTCTCTGTGGGTTCGGATTTAAAGGGCGACTCCTTTGACATCACACATAGTCATTTAACTGTTCATATATAAAAATACTCATAAGTGCAGCTTTAAGTATTTAGGTACAGAGATTACACTTCATAGTTACCTCAGGGACCTATAGGCCACTTTCTCCTCCCGAACCAGAGACAAGGCTTCTTCATATAGAGCCGCTGGTCTAAGTGACGGGTAGACTTCTTCTAAAGACATGGCATCAAACAGCTGCACGGACAAAACAAACAAACCTCAATGTACAATCTGTTTTACATAGAAAAGCAGAATTCATCTGCAAGACATAAGAGTGTACTAGTGTGTGTATTCATACAAATACCAGGGGGCCCTGGGAAATCAGTGACTGCCATCATGTGTCTTGTTTTCTGTCAGTGTTTAGAGAGTAGAGGAACGGAGCTCACCTCTGCAGCCGAGAAGAAGGAATCGTCAGAGGTAACAGTAGTCGCATCATCGTCTTGCAGTCTGTGGAAACTCTCCACTTGAGGCAAGATAAGAGTTCCTTCACTCTCTGCCAAAGGAACAACATAAACTCTGACTGACAGGGAAAGAATCAAAGCACAGATGTACTTAACAGAAATATAAAACGTATGCCCCCACTGTAAAAAGAAAAACTGTATTACTTTTGATACAGACCAAAACTCTGTATGAATCCTACTCCTACCTTCTGTTAAGGTCATTTAAAGCTCAATATGACTCTTACCAAAGTCTGCCAGCACACTGTCTGTTGGGATAGTGCTGCCAAAATCCTCTTGTAGGTGGTAGGCCCTGTGCAGTAGTGTCTCCAACTTCTCTGCAAACACTTTGTTACGGGTTTCACCCTGTAACGAAGAGGGGAGGGAAAAAAAGCATAAAACAGGGCGAAATTTACTTTAATAGTATATAATAAAAAGCTTACATTCAGGAGCAACTCAATTTCTTTTAATTGTACTGCATTGGTGTGTGTCTCCTATCACCAAACCAATAACATCACAAGTACAGCAGTTGAAAACCTAACTGCACCATAAAATACAATCATGTACTAAAACTGGAAATGAATCAATAATTTCAATTAGTCTGTACTGGTAATGATTATTTGATGTTTACCAAAGGAAAGTCTTGACACGTTGCTCCCTGCAGAGCGAGGCTGTTGTTGCTCGAGGTCGAGTGGGTGTGATGGCGAATATTCAGGGCCTGTTCCCACTTTTGTAGAGCTTCCTCGAACAGCTCCATCCCTAGCAGGAAAAAGGTGATTAGACTTAAGTGAACTATTTGTGAGCAAAACAAAGCATTGAGCTGTTTTCAGCACTGTGGATATGATTACTTTATCAAAAATATTGCTTAATGCAAGGTTAAATGACCTGAATCTGTACAGTTCCAAAATAGGGAAAAAAAGAGAATTTAAACAGAATAATCCAAATGCAAAACAACAGCACTCTGGGTCCAAGAGTCCAACTTTCATCTGATTATATCCTAGATTTTCTGCACTTGTTCTACACTGACATCAGCAGAAGGTTAGTGCTGCTTTCACACCATGTTGGAAATGCTGTGTTGCAATTCAATGTTAAAATTATGGCTCCTATAACATGGTAAAAACACTATATTTAATATATTAACTTATGAGTAATAGTAACTACCTACCCATTAAATAGAGATTCTCTGCATTTGAATCCTCTACTGCCCCGGACTCTTCCACCACAGGCTCTGCTTCCCAGGGCGTGGACGGATTGGCAGACGGATTTGGAGAGCTTGGGACCCGCATCTATGCCACAGAAATACGCACAAAAATACACATTAGGAAACTGTGAATGAAAACAAACGGTTACCAAAAAGGACATCAAATGTGTTGTAAAATGTTTGACTAACAGATGCCAGGCTGTGTGAGGAACTTGAGTGTTTACTGGGGGCCAGGGAAGAAATTCCACTCATGGTGTCATTGCTCCGAGTGCTGGGACTCATCATCTGTCGGCCACTAAACGGACCTGTAAAGAGAAAGAAACATTCTCTTGTCTGCATATTTCTCACCAGTTGCTGATAAACCAGTAACCACAAAGCAAAATTAGCATTAAGTCATGCACACCTCTCTTTAATGACGAGGGTCTTCCTGTCTTCATCAGCGCCTCAGGTATTCCCACTGTCTTCTGGCCCTCCTTCCCTTGTGTTGCCTGCTTCCTTTTTCTCCCTCGCCTTTTCAGCTGATGAGCGGTGAGAGCCAGAGCTACACTGCCCAGTGCTGTGGCGAACAGCACCTTCTTCAAGCTTGGTGTAAGCTTTAGCTGTGAAAATATGGACTGAAGGCAGGAGAGGCAAACATGAACTGTCAACATAAAAGGCTCTATAAAACTTGAATAGCCAGTGTTACTACTTATCTTTTATTGAACAAGTCTACACGAGATAGCGAATAGTGCTTGTGTATGGAGATGCAAAACTTAGCTGTACGTGCAAGTTTACCTGCCCAAATGTGGAATAGAGAAACACCGGGATCTCTGCTACGGTCATGGCCAAAGCCTGAGCAATGGACATCCCGTCTGGTTGTTTGACTGACATCCCAGAAATCAAAATGCCTTCAGGCCGCAGCTCTTGGAAGCTCCCTCACATTCGCCGTAAACGAGGTGTCCTCTCTGCTCTGAGATCAGCCAGCTCAGGGCTTGCTGATGAACCGCCTGTCGTCATCCACTCCTGGGCTTGTACTCCACACTGGTCCAGTGTCTGACTGTAGGTTTATTACCCTACGAGGGACAAGACATGAGTTTGAAATTGAAATTATGAGTGCGCCAGCCTCTTCCCATTACCTTGCACAGGCCTTGTGATAATAAAGATATCAACAGGCATAATTATCAGGGCTGTCGCCTCCAGGGCAAAACCCTCTGGACTCAAAAAGAGAATTAACTTCCAAAAGGTCCATGGTTTAAGCTGGGAAAATCGAGCTCGCATTAACTGTTAAGCAGCAGGGCAACTTGACATTCTTCCAGCTACTTAACAATCTACACTGTCTGGTATGCAGCTGTCTGGATCAGCCTGTCCTACACCTACTGACAGACAAACAGCAGGTGCGACTACAACATGAGACTGGCTGACATTGTCTCTCTCTTTGGAGCAAACCTGGCTAATTTAATTAACAAATCGACTGATGTACAGAATGAACAACAGATTACAGAAGATTTCCAGTCAGACAGGACAATGTATTGATAATGTAGGGGCTGCTAGATGACAGACACTTGACTAAAAACGTGAATCGCCAGCTAGGCGGTTAGCATCTCCAGGCAGCTATAAAAAAAAAAAAAAGCAGGAATAAAACGCTCTGATTTTACGTAAAACACGTAGAAACTCTGAGCTTTCTGTCTCTGATTCAACTGCTAATGACAGGCCGAAATCACCATGAGCGAGTAGGCAGCAGTCCTCACAGGCAAGCACGCTAACGTTAGCTAGCACACTTAGCTCAGCCTCATCTGTCACCTAAACATCACAGCATCATCCGGTCGACCGGACACCGACCGTCGGGCTTTGAGCGGACACGTCGGTGGCTCCAGCGGCTCTGCGTGGCTCACCGGCAGCCCAACTCATAAGATAATCCCTCATATAGGTACATACCGTGAGTATCCGAGGCGGGAGGGAAGGACATTCCTGTGTCACAGTAAATGAAAGCCGCACACTAGCTTTTTTTTTGCTCGGGGGGCGAAGGCGTTTGGAAACTCGGGATTACTGACGCGACCACCAGCCAATCAGGGGACGAGTACCGGCGGTTGAGTCCCGCTCGACCAATCGGATGGAAGGTGAGAGGGGCAGGAACCAATCAGGTTGTAGATCATAAAGCGTCGTCCCCGCAGGAGCAAAAATCAAAAGGTAAAGCAGAAAGTTTTCTGTGGTGCTTTTATGTTTTTGACAACATTTAAATTAAAAAAAAAAATGGAAGACGTGTAAATAAATTGTGTTTGTTATAATCTGATGAGTTATTTAGATTAGGATACATGTATAAGACCTGAATAATTATTTATTATATTATTTTCTTGGTAGTTTTGCACCTGGGCGTAAAATTACATTTTGGCCAGTGTTTAGTTGTATTTAGTATTTAACAGACCCATCTTTGTCTAGTTCTGTTATAATACTTTTAATGCCTTTGTAAACTCACGTAAATAACATTTTTATATATAGAGAGAGGAAGACTGGTCTTTTTTTTAGTACAGTAATTTCTACGACTTTGTATAATGGAAAGGTCAATTTACGAGTGGCACCTGAAGGCGGCAGACATTCTCTGGTTAAGTTCACAACAATAAAACAATAAAACTGTTTCCGGTTGTGGCATCTAGCTTTCAGAATAAAAGCATGGGAGGTACAACAAGTGCGTTGACCTATATCTTTTATGTAGGAGTTTTCCACGCGTATTGTACGCACTTTATGTAAACATTTAAGGCCATGTTTATTTGTATAACTATACATTCACCTTTTCCGGTCTGTATTTTGTGTTATATGTGTTCAAATCGTTCAGATGACACTTTTGTTGTGGAAAAAGTCGGACCGGAAACTGGATAGTAGGAAACAGTGCGGATCCTAGAAACCATAAGTGGGCTACTCTGTCAACACACCGGGTAAGATAACAGTACAACATTTGAACATATTTATTTTTAAACTAATACATGCTGTAGATGAGACAATAATAGCGGAGCTGCAGTCCGTCCGTGTGTTTCAGAGCACTCGCCAGAATTAACCGAGGGCAGCCATTAAAATCTATAAATATGAATCCTGTTGATCAGGGGCTCGTCCGTGGCTCGGCTCGTCTCTCTCGCCGCCTCTGCCTCACGTTAAGCGGCTGGTAAAATGACTGTCGCCTGGCTCTCTGGAGCAGGGCTTTCCCAAAGGCCTTGACATGAAATCTCTGGTAAGAACGAGTGTGTTGTGTTTTTTTTATTGTAACGTGTGTGAACTCTTATATATGAGATGGATGTTACAGCACATGGATATACACCCTTTCTTCCAGACGCTCCGCTGGCTCTGTCTGGTTAGCCTGAGCCTTCCTCTGTTGTTTTGGTTCGGACATGTGATCAGACGGGACGGCCTGTCGCCTGCTGTGCGGAGCACCGGCCTCAGGGGTTATATGAGGATCACCCCGGGCAAGGTGGACCAGGTGAGAGGGGCAGGGCTGGGAGTCACACAACATACAGCACCCACAAGGGTTTGGGGTTTAAGTCATAGTTCAGCTATAATGGTGGCATTGTGCTGTTTTAGTATCTTGCTGTGATACTGGTCAGGAATAAGGCTGAAAATAAACAAAATATCTTCCTTATTGATTAATCTTCCAATCAAACATATCTGTGTATGTAAAAGGTGTATAGAGTGTACATATGACTCTTATTTTCTATTTATATTACTGTATTTTTTATTTTTATAAGAGTTTTTTCTCTTATTTATTGTGTTGTGTTGTCTCTTCAGCTGCGGTAACAAGCACATTTCCCCAGTGTGGGATAAATAAAGACTATATTATCTTAATATTATTGTATCTTAATGGTTTATTCTCAATTCATTGATTAGTTGATCAATCATTTGTTCAGTAATGTGTTAAAATAGTGAAAGTGCCCACGCTAAACTCCCAGTTGGTCCGCATGTTTGCTGGGCTAAAAGAAATGCATAAACAGTTGAAATAGTTAGTTTAAAGTCTTGGATTAACAGTTTAAACATCCAGCTTCTGCTACTCCAAGCAGTGTGCAAACTTAACCAATCTGAAAACACTGACTAAACATTGTAACATGCACTACTATATCCACTTTTATATAAATAATAGTGTTAAATGTTTTATTTAGAGTTCATCTGACAATTTACTGTATTTACTTACAGAAATTCAAACCTAAAACTCTTCTTATATGGGCCTCTTCTCTCTCAACAGTTCCTGGACATGCACTGCAGCCAGTGTGCCTTGGTCTCCAGCTCGGGGCAGATGATCAGCGCTGGCGTCGGAGAGGAGATAGACAAGATCGGATGCGTGATCCGGATGAACAATGCACCCACGCGGGGATATGAGAAAGACGTAGGGAACCGCACCAGTGTTCGGGTAGTGTCTCACACCAGTGTTCCCCTATTGGTGAAAAACGAGCTCTACTACTTCCAGCAATCAGCAGACACCACGTATGTGTTCTGGGGCCCCGAGAGGAACATGAGGCAAGACGGGAAAGGACGTATCTTCAATACTCTCCTGAAAATAGCAAATAAGTATCCAAATGTGAGAATCTACGCTGTGACCAGAGAGAAGATTCAGTACTGTGATAGTGTGTTTCAGAATGAAACTGGAAAAAACAGGTACAGTATGAGATTACTCTCATCTTTTTTTATAGCCACTATTACTGTTTGTCACAAAACTTTCTTTAAAATAAAAGGAAATAACAAAATACACACTGAAATGTAAACTTTGCACATTTCAGTTATGAGTGACACACTATGTATTGGACATTGGTGGAAGAAGTACTCGATCGAAGTAATAAAAGTACTGATTGTGCAGAATGGCCTATTTCAGAATCATTTATATATTATTGTATTTAAATTAGAGCTTGACGAATATGGGTTATGCTGATTTTGGATGGTAAAAAATGTACCGATTACTGACTGCTGGGATGAAAAAATACCTTTTCTATGTGGATTGTGCACTGATTTTGCACCAATGCAAAAGTTTTCATATGAATCAGCATCAGAATCAGGTGTATTGCCAACTAATGTTTCACATAGGAGGAATTTGCTTTGGTACATTGGTGCATAAGAATCACAAACTACTTTAACATGTTAAATAATTGAACATACACGTAGTGAACCCACTCTAGCTGACACTGCTGAGAGCTTCCTCTCCTCTCTCTCTGCTGCTGACCACATTATTGTAAATCACAGCACTCTCTGCTAGATAAACTTTCCAGTGAGACCAATATATTACCACAAGCATTTTTTGCAACATTATACTGCATATTATATTCATTTTCTATTTTGTATTAATGATCTGGAAAGGAAGGAATAAATGTGATCACATAAGGTAGTGGAGTAGAAGGGTAAAGTATCATAAATGTACAGTACTTCAGTAAATGTACTTAGTTACAGTCAATCACTGATATTAGTGTCCTTTACAGTGAGTGTGCTGTATAGTAATGTGGACAGTGATGATGTAATGTGCAGTTAATGACTGGTCCTAGCTTTAGGCTTTTATTTTAGTCATTTAAGAGTTTATAACAGCAGACGTTTGGTGTCTGTCACTCAGAATGAAGACGGGTGCGTTTCTCAGTACAGGATTCTTCACAATGATTCTGGCTATTGACATGTGTGACAGCATCCATGTTTACGGAATGATTGATGACAACTACTGCAGGTGAGGCTCAATTTCATGACCTATACGATCATAATCAAGCTTTTTTTTTAATCATTAAGTTTTGTAAATAACCTTCTACCTCCTCCCGTGCTCTTCCTCTGACAGTCGAGCCAATCACAGTGTTGTTCCTTACCATTACTACGAGAGGAACCGAATCGACGAGTGCAGGATGTACAGGGTCCACGAGCACACACAGCGCGGGGGTCATCGCTTCATCACTGAGAAGGCCATCTATGCCAGATGGGCAACGCGGCACAAGATGGTGTTTAAACATCCGACATGGAGCCTCTAAAGGAGGAGACGGAGGAAGATGTTCCTCGACTGTACAGTAGTATTCACTTTTGCTGGCTTTTGGTCGTCTTTGCTGAAGATTTTTAGTGTTACCTGAGCAGGAACTTTATCAAGCACATGGCATTTTTACTGGTGGGCACTTCTTTTATTCCACTTTTTTACCAACTCAACAGTTTTTCAAAAAAGAAGAAGAAAAAGAGCCCATTTGATACTAGTGAATAGTGGATACAGTTATCTGCAACCATAAACATAAAATAATAGTTTGTTTCTATGCTTAAGATGAAAAATTACCAGAAAGTGGTAACGCCCTCAGTATTACTGAATACTTCTGTATTGTATAGCCATATATCAGTATAGATACTGATAAAGAATATTAAGCTACTAAACTAGACACTTAAACCAGTTTATACCAAAGCTTACAATTTTTCATTTCGTTGTATCTGTGCCTTGACTTTGTTTTATTCTGTTTTTATTTTATGCTGCTATCTGGCCTGCAGCTACAATATGCACCTTTTACTCTTTGATACACAAAGTGTGTTGTCTAGGGCTGCAACTGACAATTATTTGTGATTAATCTGGTGTTTATTTTCTCAGTTAATCAGTTAATTCTTTGGTCTACAAATTGTCAAAAATCCCTGTTTCACAGAACTCAAGTTGACGTATTTAAATGACTGAATACATTTTTGCCGTTTTTGTGTAAAGAATGACAAATTAATGTCCTGTGGAGCGACTAATTGATTAATTGAATCTTTTCAGCTCCAGTATTGTTTTTCCTGCTCTCCTCCCTGTAAGTTGGTCAGTATTTTGCCACAAAACATGACGCTCTTCTTGTGACATGTCTGCCTTGAAGCAGAGTCATGTTCATAGTAAACCATAGACAGTCTATTTTAAAAATCAAAGTCTAGTTTGTGGCACATTTCATTTGATGATCCTTTTTTTTCTTTCCTCTGGTGTTTTTGTTGTTTTTGCCTGTCTATGGTGTGGCTTTGGGCCTCAACTCTACAGCCAGCAGTTCGAGTTTACACCAGACAACAACAAATGAACAAACTGGGTCATGCAGCTTCAGGCTGATACTTTATTTCTTCATAAACTACTTAGTGTTATTTTTGTAAAGTTTGATATTGCAGCTTTATGCTGATTACTTGCCCTGACTGCAGCCATTTACAGTGTTTTAAAGCTTGTAGTAGTAGTAGTAGTAGTAGTAGTAGTAGTAGTCATTTAACCAGTGTTAATGTGAACAGTGTTCAGTTATTGCCATTGGGAGTGCCATTTAACCGAAAGAGTGATTGTTCAGTTTGCAGTTGTGCTACATGTGGCATCCGTGGTTTAACATGGGTGTTGGAGCACAGTGTGTCATGTGTATACTGCACCAACCACAGAGCAGAGAATATTAAAATGTAACTGCAGATGGGTCCACTGTCAACCGGCTGCAGTCCAGTAATGCACAGCCCACGTGAATGATGAGAGCATACAAACAAAGCCTGTAGATCTTTGTGGTTGATGTGTGTTATCTGTGTTCGAGGGGAGGGGGTATCGAGACCCACCAGGTTTCTTAAAAGGCTGATGGGATATTTGCACTGGTGCAGTTCCACCACTGAGTGTCACCCTCTGACAGAAATCTGCAGAAAGTTGTGGTTAAAGGCTAAGAAAAGGATTCTTATAACAGGCCCGATATACCGTGCACACAAAATGTATTACTTGTCTTCAGACAACTACTTTGTAATGGTTTACCCTTTATATTTTGCTACCTGTTTACAATTTAAAAAAAAAAAAAAAACATAGCGCTGCCTTTTCATTTGCATAATGCTTATTTTGTGACTAATTCCAAAGACCGTAATAGTATTTGCACTACTGAGTAAACTACTGTGTCAAATCATTTTGCTGTCATGTACATTTCAGACATGAATCATTTGAATTAAAATGTATTATTGTCTGGTTGCCGCAACCTGCTGTCAAACACTGTCTGCTTGTGTGTGAGTTTGATTTTACAAACTGACTTTACCACTGTTCCTCTTGATTTGTATCTGCACATGTGAACTCACGTAAACGCTCTACACACGCGTTTTCACTGGTTAGACGTCTTCCCAAGATGGTTTGGAAGCCTTCAGTCTCTGTTAAACAGCCAACACAGTTAAAACAACCAAAGAGCAAACAGAACAATGGCTCAGCATCAGAGAGAAAAAGAAGCCTATTAAGTATGATTGTTAAAAAATACATAATACAGACAGAATTGTATAAAAAGTTCCTTAAAATGTAATATAATCTGATCCAAATCACTTGTTTTACACAAACTTCCTGCAGTTTATCAGCTGCTCTGTTCTGTTATTGCTTTGTATTATTTGGGAAGCACACTGTCCCCACCCATCCGGGAAAAAACCTCTCATTTTAGAGTCCACTAATTAACCCTGAATCCGGGGAACACCCAGTAAATTCTGCGTAAGAATAAACTACCACTGTTGTTTATTATGATGGGGGGGGGCAGCACCATTACTGTGCTGCAGTGAGAGACGTAGCGGTGACGTCAGCAAGTGCTGCAGGAAGATGGGGGACGACGAGAGATGAGGGAGACCTCAAAAAAATCACCAGGACCGCATAGGCCATGAAACGGTAAACCGGATTATCCCGTTATTATTAGCTCACATTAGATTTATACCTTTAATCACATCAGCGGGGATGTTGTGTCCTCGGTAAACGGTGGGACTCCAGCAACGGAAGGCGAGCTGCTGCGCAGGATGGCATTTGTATTTAATGAAAATAATAATAATAAGACATTAGATTGCAGTGACTGCAGCGTTATGTGGCGTTAGGTAATAATACGAGGTAGAGCTCGCCAGGCACTGTAATTAACCCCCGCTATCTAATTCAATTGTAGGCTACATACTTCACGTATTGTTGAGACGTCGCTGTGATACTGGACATTTAAAATTTTCTACCTAAAACCTAGAAAAATGTACATTTCGTGTTGTAAATTTTGTTTAGAATTTCAACCTACAGTGTGTGTGTGTGCGTGTGCGTGTGTGTGTGTGTGTCTCCTCCCAGTTATGATGACAGACAGTCGCGGCCAGTGTGTTGGTACACAGCCTGATCAGAAAGCATGGGGCTCAAGCTCAGTGGCAAGGTAAGACAGCTGGGGTGTGGCCCCTCAGACCTCTTGGCCTTCATCATCATCATTATGATCATTAATATTATTAGTGCTAATAGTGTTAAACCCACGCAGGCTTTTATCATTGGCATTATGTTTACAATTATTACTAAATATAAGAATCTTATAGTATCCTCTGTAAAATGTACAGTAGGTATCACAGGTGACAGTAGGCCATTATATAGAATATAGAATATTATCAAATGTATTCCAGCACACAGATACTAAGATTTTTAAGAGTTTAATTACATTAAAGATTAATAAAAAAGGAGCAGCCTATGCATTTCGTATCTTGCTTCATCAGATTTCTTTATCGTCTTAAGTAAATGTAATATGATAGTGTAATATTACATTTATATAATAATATAAATGTATTTTGATTTAATCATAATCATTAAGTTTGCATTAGGACTGTGCATATGTATGTGTGTGTAAAGAGTAAGTGGTTAAAGCTAATGAATTGATACTTTAGTGCAAGGAAATGCAGAATAATCATGAAACCATACATTTTACATCAATCAGTTGCTCAAATAGTTGCAGATTATATACTGTTGGACAGTTTAATCCATAATAATGCACCATCTTTTATAAACTCCTCATAGGTTTTGTATGCAAAATCAAAATTTACTAGCAACTATAGCTGTTAAATAAAGTTGTGGAGTAAAAAAAAATACATTCATTCTCTCTGAATCATAGTAGAGTACAAGTATAAAGTAAGTTGGTTGTGTAAATTAGCTTTCGTGTTCACTCTGCAGGGACAACAGAGCCACAGGATGGTGATCTTGGCGGCCATCTTCGTCCTCATGACACTCCTCATCCTGTATGGGTCCAACAATGTCATCGATGAGGTCTATGCTCCATTTCGTGTGGCTACAAATCACGCACTCAAGACCACAGATCTGAAGAAGTGGGCTGGGAGAGAAGGTTATGTGCCAGTTAATGGGAACAAGGTACTTAATAGATTGTACACGGACTGATTTTAATACTAGTTTGGATGTCATGTGATTTGTTAATATGGCAAGTATGGAAGCGGAAATCTGTTCACTTAAAAGAAAATGCAACATGATGCCAGCAAACTGCACACAACTCAGAGCCAACAAAGTGGTACTGCTGTTTAAAAGCTTAGTTAAGTCCAATCAGACGGAGGAACAGGCTCCTGTTTCAATCTCAAGGGCACAATAATGCCCCGTTACGAGTTGCTTAAAACTTCAGAATAGAAATACAAGATTATTCTAGGGTTGGCATTATTGGAATTTGATTGTGGAATATCAACTGTACATACTATGGACCAAACAATTCACAGTTTAAACTTATTCAATCTAACCACTTGAAAAAGGTGAAAGCACTGTCGTGGATTAATAACGATCTTGGGTCACTCACACTTTTCTGGACTGAAAAACAAATTCACAGTTGAATGGTATGTTGAAGAAATCAGGAAGAAACCAGTTCAGAGGGTTGGCTGTGGAGTTAACTGGAGCATGCTGACATTGGGTTCAGTGCCTTTAACTGTTCCCTAAACCAGCCAAGCAAACCAGTGGTGACAGGATTATGAAACGTCCTTTTCAAACGGTTTTTGTATTTCCTGCAAAGATTCACATGGCTGGTATCACATGATCAAAGTTGTTCACAGTGTAATTTTCTAGTTTGTGACGGATGGCGCAACACAAGCACCTCAGGGAGTGACAGGCAAAGCCATCCACACGTGTAACAGTCCGTAGGTTTTAAGGAATTATCAGTTATCAGTGTTTGTTGCAGTAGGTGTCTTCCCCTCTTGGTATTTTGTGGATTTCTCTGTTGGTGAGAAATAATCCACTACGGTTTTTCCTCTACTCTTCTGACGACTGTGGGTGTCCAACGTCTTCTTCTGGGACTCTGGGTCCTGCGTTATTTCTCAGGAGAGGAAGTCCTTCCTGGGGATGTATGACCCAGGGGATAAAGGGGGATTCTGTTGATTTCCTGGTGCATCATGGAGGAGTGGGAGGACCTTTGCACTTCACTGCTGTCTTGGTCAGTTTTTACTTGTCTGTGGATTAGCTGGACTGCAGAGGTTAGAGCAGAACATATTTTCCTACATCGTACTGAGTAAACTCGGTACTTGGTAAAACTCATTGGTCCTCTCTCGTCTTTAGGGCCTGTTTCAGTACACGGCTTGACTAGTTTGAATTTCAGGCTCCATTTTGCCTTTCAGCTAGCCCTGTAGATGTGATTTATAGAGTTCAGTCATATGACCAGTGAAATGCCTACCTCTGTTTGAATTGATGGTGTGTGGAATACAATAACTTGGAACCATTCTTTACAGCACGCTTTTTGCTAAAGAAACAATGTCAGCATTTTTGCAAGCTCAGGCTTCAAGGCCAGTATGAAGACCTAAACACATACAAGAATATTGTCGTATCGATCATATTTTGCATACAAAAGTCAATTTGTAGAGCTTCAGATGTCATTGTCGTCTGTAGTTTTGCAACACATCCTCTTTTTGCTCACATGTGACAAGCCATGTAATGTGTGCTAGCGATGGGTGCAGGGATGTGGGATTTACATACATTTACACATCCATGGTCAATCCACAACCTATGTTTCTCTACATCAGTATTCTCCTGTAAGAGAACCACGTCATTGGGAGAGTGACAGGGTTTTATATGGTGAGGAATGCCACTTCTGGCAGCTGCTTTGGCTGCGTGGTCGGCCCAAACATTGCCTCATAAAACAGGGGTTGGATTTGGTTTGGACGTCACATTTAACAACAGTAACAGATGAAGGTAGTTGGCATGTATCTAACTGTTCCCCAATCAGTTTGCCATGTTTATCGGGTATCCCCAAGGATGTAATGAATCCTGAGTTTGCCCACAGTGTGCCAAAGTCATGTAAACATTCATGAGCATATGTGTAATATGTGTAAATGTTACACAGTTTGACCTTTTGCCAGATGACAGGCTCTCATCAGTACATTTAGCTCAGCTACTTCAGACAAATTATATAACCTGTGTATGGCACTTACTTCTCTATCAGCAAAGGTAGGACAGGTAATAGTAGCAAAGAGAGATTATTTCTAAGAATAGAAATAATAAGGATAGAAATGTAAATGTAGCTGTAGCTACGGTTTTCAGACAAGATGGAAGTCCTCTCTCTACAGGATCCGGTCTTACCAAAATAAGAGGTGGCTCTGTAAAAAGATTTATGGTGCTCAGTGAGAAGCTTGTCCAAATCCACATTTCTCATGTACAAAGGGGGGGAAGGAGACAACAAGAGTACACATTTGTTATATGACAAGATCAAGGAGCATACAACAGACCAGATCAAGCGAGCGGGCCAGAACTGGCTTCCACATATCACTTGTTTAGCAAGTCTGCACTGCCTTAATGTGAATTTTCTTTATCAGGTATTTGGGGGAAAGAATGGTTGCATTACTCTCTCCTGTCATGCAACAGTGTGGGGACATCAGCTAAATACAAGTTTTAGTCAATTATTTAATCTTCTTTTGAGAAGAAGATTTTTTTTTTTGAGAGCCAAAACTATTTTTTAGAGTACGTATGTTAAAATAGCCATGATGGAAGGAAAGAAGAAAAACATCAATACAACAGGTGATTCCAACCCTCTGAACAGTTTTGTTCTCATTATCATATCTTATATGAACGGCGAAAAGCATGAACCTCCACATCACAGCAGGAGGGAACTGCAGCTTATGTGACACATTTAATACTGTGTGGAATTGCAGTGAACAGTTTCTTGATTTTTCCTGTCACGTGAGGGAGATAGCGCCTTCCTGTTCGGTTTCTCAGTGTGTAAATCATTTTTTTTCTTTCTGCCTGTTACTGCAGTAACCACGGTGATGGTGCTAGATGAGCCTAAACACTTGTAAACAAAAAATCTGACACTGAAAGTAGCTGTCTAAACCCTACGCATTATTCCCAGTAGTGTTGCCATGAGCTCTGGTAACTCAACTAATTGACTCAGTTATATATATATATATATATATATATATATATATATATATAAATAAAACTAAATATATAATACTAACATTTTATAACAAGTATATATACAGCAGGGGTGTATACAATGAGTAACAGCCATGCTAGCGACTTAGTTTTGACACGATGATGGTGCTAGATGAAACATTAAGGTATCACCAAAGATATTACATTTCATCCTGAGGGAAACATTAATGTGTACAACAAATATCACGGCAATCCAGCCAATAGCTGACAATACGTGTCACTAAAAACCAAAAACCTCATGGTGGACCTAGTAGTAATATTTGTGATCAACAGACCGACATCACCATCTCTAGAGCCACACTACTAACGTGGCTAAAATGGATAATTGTAACTAATGATGGACCTTTTGCTTAAAAAGTTTCATGTCGTCTTTTCTTTTCAGAATATGACCCTACGCTGTCATAACTGTGCGCTGGTGACGAGCTCCAGCCACGTCCTGGGTACTCGAGCAGGTGAAGAGATCGACCGTACGGAGTGTGTGATACGTATGAACGACGCCCCCACGTTGGGGTACGAGACTGATGTAGGGAACCAGACCTCTCTGAGGGTCGTGGCTCACTCCAGTGTTTTCAGGGTGGTCCGGAGGCCTAATGAGTTCTTACACCGGGCAGACAGCAACCCTGTGATCATCTTCTGGGGACCCCCAAACAAGATTGGGAAGGAAGCCAAAGGAACCTTGTACAGATTGATCCAGAGAGTCAGCATGACCTACAGCAACTTGTCGTGTTTCAGTATCACAGCAAACAAGATGCGCAGATTTGACAGTCTGTTTCATAGGGAGACGGGGCGAGATAGGTGAGTATTTAGGGAGCTAGTGTAAAGTGAATCACGTTTTATTGAGTATATTGGGTAAATGTTACAAACTCTACTCCCTACTCCCCATTTGTTTTTTTCCAGACAACAATCTCACTCGTGGTTGAGCACAGGCTGGTTCACCATGGTCATAGCCATTGAGATATGTGATAACATCAAAGTATATGGGATGGTTCCACCCAACCACTGTGGGTGAGTATAACCATGGCACTAATCAACATACGTAAGAGGATCTATTGGCAGAAATGCAATATAATATTAATAGGTATGTTTTCATTGGAGTTTAATTACCTGAATATAGGAATCATATTTTATTACCTGAACAGTTTTTATCTACATACGTCACAGGTCCATGGAGGCCACCATGTTTATACAGTAGCTCAGAATAGACAAACCAAACACTTGCTCTAGAATCCGTTTTTTTTTTTTCCCGGCTACCGTAGTTTCTCCATCGCACTTGAAAAGTAAGGGTAAATGCCATTTAATCATACACACTGGTTCTTTGAAACACTATCAACCCATCAGTTGCCACAAATTACAGATAAGCTGGTTGTTAAACTAATTAAAAATATTCACACGTTTCTTTTTCTAGAAAGAAATCTGGATTGAAGAAGATGCCCTACCACTACTACAAGCCCAGGGGGTCTGATGAATGCGTAACATACATACAGAACGAGAGCAGCCGAAGAGGGAACCACCATCGCTTTATTACAGAGAAACAGGTGTTTGCACGCTGGGCAAAACAGTACAACATCACCTTCATTCATCCCAAATGGTGACAAGACTTTTGTGAAAACCACAAAGAGATCTCACAGAGGCCTGAATGAGTGCTGGATTTCAGCGTAATGTCCGATCGAATGAGCCTTTAAACAGCCACATGATGAATGACAGCTACTTTCAAGAGTTGCCACGTGGATGAAAAAAGCTTTTGGAAAACTATTATTGGACCAAATTACTGGAGGAGATGTCTGGGAATGTTTTCTGTCGAAGAGGAGTGAATTTTTATATGTTTATATAATTTTTATTAATATGTATCGAAACTGCACTCGTGTTTCCAATGTTGAGGGTGGATTATATCAGCAAGCATTTACAGATGCGACAAAGTGGCCTACAAAATACTATATTCTATTAGCTCGCCATTATACAGAGATTATTCTACAGTAACTGCAGTCAGATACATTAGATCACTAATATAATCTACAGATTCAAAGTACATTGGAGCCCCACATTGCAGTACCTGTTGATACTTTACAAAAGCAGTTCCTGAACAGATACCATACTCATACTTTTTCCAGTATATTAGCTTGAATCTATACATTTCAACATACATTTGCATTTAAAAGCATTAGTATTTAACATCTTAACATAAAGCATCTGTACAACTAAATAAAAGTCTAAAATAGGCTTTATTGTAAATTAAAATCAGATAATATCTGATTATTAACATTTATTAAAGTTAACAGTGTAACAGTGTAAGGATACAATGACAGCTTACTTGGTGCAAGTAAAACAAGTTTTGAGGCTCAGATTCCAGCTCTAGTTAACAGCATGGTGGGAAAGGAACGTAATTAACAAAATGGGAACATCTACAAGCCACTGACAGATACACGTTCAAACTCACCACCCACTCTCATTATTTTGTGTCTGTAATCTACCAACTACTTTCATATTTCAGCAGCATTTGGATGGTGCTAATTTTCCACCCTGGAACAGATGTCAATGTCACACAATGTTAATAAAGATAATAAAGATCACGATTAGGATGACACACATAGGTAGCTAAAGTTTAAAGGATTTTATCTGTGTTGATTCAACAGAGACAAACAAGTACACAACTGTTTGTGTGTCAATAATAATCATTTAGATTGCAGAAATTGTGGCACCAGGTTTATTCCAGAGACACAGATTGTCACTTTACACAGTCACTCACTTTTCCAGTCTGTCGTGATCTCAAACAAGTTGATATACCCTCAATTTGATGGTAGCAGTACTTCATTGTAACATTTTTGCTGCACTAGATGTGGATTTTAATGTTTTCATGCAAATTGGACAACGTACATGAAATTGTTGCCTCATGAACCTCATGGGAACCTTTTTACCTTAGTGGTATTTCAGTGCATGCAGCTTAAGTTCAGATGGTCCACACAATGCATCATGGTCGTGTTATATATCAGTATGTTGCTCTAAGGACTGCACGATTAAATTAAAAGTTAAACTGCAAGTTTTATGTTAGAAGCGTGAAGCCGAGAAGGGTGCAATTTCTTAAACTATGTTGCCTTTTTTTATTTATCTGTAGACATATTTTTTAAGAATATTCATCTTCAGGAGAGGCTCTTATCACAACTATGTACACAATAATGAATAGGAAGAAAATACAAGCACCACATCAGCTGTTGTGCTATTTAAATCAAATTGCCTGCTAAATGTATTTATATATTAGCCTGAAAGTGTAACAGTACTGACTTTTTTATGATGCAAATGTTTTGAGCAACTGTGAACCGAGTACCAGGTAGCAGCTGAAACTCAAATTTTATGGCATAGCCGTTTCTCAACTTTTGTCAATCCAGTTTTTATCAGTGAGGGAAGACTACCTGTGAATAAAAGTCAATACAATTCAGCAGCACCACAAACTACTAGCTCCAAAATGACCAAAAAGTTAAATAAGCACCTCTTTAAAAACAGTTTCAACCTCAACTGAACATTAAAACCTCCTTGAAGGTAGGATTTACTGCAGGGCTGCTGCACCAGACTGCAATCGTTTTTGCTTGGTGTACCTAGTAATCTGGAAACTGAGTGTGTATCAAGCCCTTTATATACAGAATAATACAGCAGGCCTCATATAAATAAATATGTGCCTGTCTTTCTTGTTTTGATATGGGAGAAACAAATGCTCATATTAAGGGAACATGCACGCAGCATGCATTGCAACTGGAGAGTGATTGCATCCTCAACACAATCTGAGAGGCCTGTAGTCTTGTACTACAACATCTTCCAATTTTCAGATATCACAGATTTTATCTTGATGCAGGCATGTGTTTGGCCTACTTGCTCACAAACCCTGAAGTAGAGTGGTGTTTATTGGTAAAAATCTTACTCAGCAATTCAGTGCCATTTGTCTGTCCATGTTGTGCTGGTCTCAACACTGTTTTTTTCATGAAAAGCTCTGTACTGTTTATCGAAAAACAAATTATATGCTTTGAAAAATACAATACGAGTCAGTTTCAGTCTGTGGATAGTATTTGTATTTAAATATGTACAATTTGTTGAGCCGTTTAGAAACAAAGACACACAGAATGAAGACTAAATAACAACAACAGGTGCATACAATGCACTGATGTGATGTGATGTTTGAGGTACAAGCTGTTTTAACAGTAAGAAATGCTAAACTTCATAGTGAACGCCAGTAAGATGATAAAACGTCTGCCAGCATGACTTTGTTTACACCTTGCTCCATTGCTAACTCTTTAATAAATCACTGGACACGTCTGAAAAGGCAGCTGTGATCTTCTGTCTCAGCCCTGCCATGGAGACTAAGATGGCCTCCTGTTGAAAGGAAAATAGGAAACACTAAATGAACACGCTGGTGAGCAGAAAGAGGCGAGTTAAACTCATGTTGCTTACCGACTGTAAGGCATTTGCTTATACAAAGAGTAATTTTATCTTGCCACACAATGCTTAATTGTGTCCTATAATATTCCCTCACCTCTGTGCGAATTGTCCTGCTGCCCTGGCCGGGGCATGTGTTGAGGTAAAGGTCAAATAAAGCACCGGGGTCATTCACATCCAGGTTTTGGTCAGCATCTACACTGGCCTCCAATCCCTGAAGGCCTCCAAAAACTACCAAAAGATGCCTAAAAAGTGGGGAAAAGTCCAGTTTAAATTAAAAATGATAAAATACAATTAATGGTGTAACACTAGGGGTGTACAGCGATGCTGGCAGCTCTGTGAGGCTGCACAGCAGTGCTTTGAGCTAAATGCTAACAACAGCATGTCAGCACACCAACGTTCATCAGCTTAGTTTACCTTGCTGCCATGCTAATATTTGCTAAATACCACTAAAGACAAAGTACAGCTGAGGCTGATGGGAATGTCATTAGTTTAGCAGGTACTTGGTCACAAAAATTGGAAAATTGAAAATATGAACCTGATGGTGGCTCAAGAGGAAAGGTGAAGGAATAACCAAAGTTATTACAGTTCATCCTGAGGGAGACATAAATGTCTGTACTAAATTTTATGGCAATAAAATCTTTTAGACAAGACCAAGTGCCAGACCAACATTGCCATGCCGCTAGAATGGCTAATAAAAAGAGGCGTCTTACTGGCTCTGAACCTACTTGAATGGTGACAGCGTGGTTTGGTCGATGTTGCAGCCTCTTTCTGATGTGCCAATGGTCACATCGTATCCTTCTTCATATGGACTTTCTGTGAAAACTGCACCTGCATTAACAGACAGACAAGCAATAAGTATAAAGCACTCACAGCAGGGCCAAGCCTGGAGTCACATGTTTGAGTTATACGAGTGTATCATGAGCATAGGAAACCTACTGAGGCAAGATGCCAGGCGGACACTGTAACCCCAGTAGAGACCTCCTTCAGTCCGGGGAACGTGAGGAGCCACCACCACACCTTTATGTAGTTTGTTCTCTGAGGAGGGACAGATGGACACAAACACACTGAACTGATGTGCAGAATCTTGAACGCAATAAGAAAAGAGTAAATATACATAAAACAATCAAAAGATGTGATTTTTGAATTACCTTGAGCCTGTGTCTTCCTGAGCTGTACTGTGACTCGAAGTCCAGACTGCAGCTGTTTATCAATCCGAACCTCCTGTGGGAGCAGATGGACAAAGTTCAGTCAGATCAACGGAATAATAATCTGATACAGTTCATATTAATTCATTGTTTGGGTCATTTTTAATTACAAATGCCAAGAATTTACTTCTTGAATTGAAAATACTTTGTCTGCTGTGATAGTAAACTGAATATATTTGGGTTTTGGACAGTTGGTTGCACAAAACAAGACAATTTTAACCGTTTCCTGGCATTTTATAATCAATTAATTTAGAGAAATAGCTGGTAGATTAATCTGAGAACAATTGTTAGTTGCAGCCCTACAGTCTGTATTCCTTTAAATGACAACAATATATTTGATCAGTGTCCACAATATGATGACAGTAACCTCTATTAAGACATGCTCACTTTTCTCATTCCACAGTTGACTAATGAGCCTTGTCCTTGTTTGGTCGGCCTGTCGAGGACTATTCCTTCCCGATAGTCTGATTCATCATCCATCCTCATGTGGTGAGGGCTGTCTAAAGGGTTCAGCAATCCTGGTAGGAAATAAAAAAGACAAGTGACTTAAGTAAGTGAAAATGTGTCTTCTTTTGCCTTCATTTAAAGGTCTGTTTATACCTAATCTCTACCTAGATATAGTATTCAGATAACTATTTATATACTGATTCACTACAGCAACAATAGTCTTTTATGACTCGTGTAGGAGGAAACACAAAAAAACAGGTTGCTTTTGTTACTAGTGTTTGAAAACATTACAGATGAGATGATGTAACATTTAAAAGTGGTGTGGTTTTTGCTCTTTTACTCCAACGGTAGTGAAGATGGCTGAATTTACATACATCTTGTCAGAAAACAGAGGAAATGAAGATACTTAAAAATCCTTAATGCTTGTATTCTCTCAGTCTCAACTCACATAAATCTCAACATACGTACATAATAAACATATTTTAAGATTCAGTGCGACTTAAACTAAACAAACAAGGATAGCATAATTTCCGATAATCCATTTGCTAATAAACATCCATAAATCTGCTTAAAAAGGTTGGTCTTCAGTAACAAAGTAATCCAGTGACATTACATTACATACAGGAGCTCCTAATAGCTAATTCAGCATCATTTCGTCTCAGTTTTGTCGGTGTCAGACTTTTAAAACCCCAGCTGCTACTGAACGTATGAAAAGGAAATCTAGACAATTACCTGCATACTGTAAATCTTGATGCTTTGGGAAAAACCACTTGCGCAGGTACCTGGTGGAGAAGAAAAGCTTGTACAAACAGTCTGATAAATGTGCTGATACTGGTGGTGATCCGATTACAATACGTTCCTACTTACTGGGGACACTCCAGGTACTGGAGTATTCTGGCAAGCTGAATACAAGCATGTCCTTTCTTTCCAACACCTTTAAATTCTCCTTCAACGCTCCTGAGCAACAAAAAAATAAAACAAAATAGTCTCTATTAGCTTTGTAATGGTTTAGGGAGTGTTTCCCAATAAACTGTGCCTCTTCAATTAAACTTACTTGACATCTTCCCCTTGTTCATCAAACACAACGATCTCATCAACACAGAACACGACACAGGCTCGGGCGATCTGACCGGCCAGGTATGTACGAAGTTCAGTGGACTGAGCGTTGTCCAGGACAGAACCTGGCAGGGCCACGCTCACCGTGTAAGCCCGACCTAAGAGAAACATGTACAGAGCACACATTACAGCACTCTATTAACAGGTATGATGGCTGAGAGCAATCCATGCAGTAAGGTTACCTTTTTTGTCATGGCTTTGTTCAAGTTTTGCTCTCTCTGCAGCCTCATGTTGCTTCTGCTTTTCCAACTCTTTGATGAGCTTGGCCTCTTTTCTTTTCTTCTGAGTCTCCTTTACTGTTATTGAGGAAGAATCAATAACATTTGTAAGAAAATTAAATATACTGTGTGTACACAGAATGACCTCAAATCAGATTTGAAGAGCTGAAACAACGAGTCGGTTGTGAGGGTTTGCCCCTTTTTCTTTTACTTATGTGATAGTAAACTGAATATCTTTGGGTTTTAAGTGCTAAAAGTTAATAAAAAAGGTGTAAAAAAAAAAAAAAAACATTTAAAAAAAATATATTTTTTTTCTCTTAATTCTTTAATCATCTTGTGACTCACTTATCTACGGATCCCATTGGGGGGGGCTTCTGACACCCAGGTTGGGAACCACTTGTCTAAGCCCTAAATAATATCATATGTATTATTTAATTAACTCACTAAATAAAGTTCAGCTCAGTTTATGAATATAACATTAAACGACCATAAATTCAACATCAATGCTGTGAATGAAATACTGAGATGTCACAATAAAACAATGTAAAACAAACACTATGCACACACTCACTGTCGACCAAAGACACTTTAACTGAGCATTAAAGCGAATAAAAGACAGAACAGTAACTTATCAACTCAAACTGAGCTGGAAGCAGTCAGCTACATGTAGCATTAGTTAGCTCATTACTCACTTTCTCCTTTCCTTTTCTTCCAGTCCACTTTCTCCTCAGGCTGTAAAAACAAACAAACACATTGTGTGTGATATAAAGAAACCCACAGTGTCACCGTTATGCTACACACTTGTGTTATAATACCTGAGAGGACATCATTTTGGGTCTTTTCACTGCAACGTCGGTAGACATTTCTACACACACCAACACGTGAGGTTTATTTACTTCCGGGTTGCGATCTGCGTTTCAAAATAAAAGTCTGTCGGTATTCGCTGATAAAAAGCCGAGTATGTTATTAATTGAAGTGCTGTGATTTATTAACACACAATTGTGACTTTATAGAGGTATTGGCCTATAAATAGTGTTTATCGTTCTTTACCTACATTATGTATAGGAAACTACAATTTCCACTAGGAGGCGATATATTAAAAATGTGACTTCTGTCTTTTTTGTGAATTATTATTGTATACAATAAAAACATGCCAAAGAATCCCCAAAAATAAAAAATAAAAACAAGCAAGGGGCGCTTTTGCTTGATTCTGAATCAAATATCAACACTACAAACCTTTCTTACTCTAATTTTTGATCAGGTTGGTATAGTGGGATTTATTCACTATTGCAAGAAAATCATTGTTTTCTTTATTTATTCATTTTGTGCTGAAACTATTCAATGAATGAGAGACAAAGTGTTCCGCTCTTTATATGGACAACAAAACACTCATTCAACATTCACATTCCTTAATGAGACACTGTGCCAATAAGGTAATAACAAAAACTGAACATGTGGATTTTTAAAAGGTTTATTAAACATTTTGAATACTTGGATACATGACAAATATGTCTGAGGAATAAAATATTGAATAGTATTTTATGTACAGTTTTCTGCTTAAAATAAAAATGATTACACAAATGCCTGAGTGTTTTCACCAGTACAGCATGAGGTTTAACTATCCTGTTAAAATCTCACCAGACAGGTAATGGATGACTGCATGCTACACATTGTGTTATATTTTACTGACTGATTCTTCTTAAGATGTCCTCAGCTGCATCCAGAGTGGAGTCCTCCTTTTAGACAAAAACAGTGAGTTTGAGTGAGACTGACACAAAATAAAATAATTGAATTTAATTAAGATTAAATTAATCTGAATAAATTGCATTTTCTTTACTTTGACAAAGCAGAATCGGACGTATTTGTCGAACTCCTTGCTGTGCTCTGAACTGTAGAATGCGGAGACGGGGATTGTTGCTAAACCCTGCAGAAAACAAACCCAAAACAGGATAATCTTAATACATCAGAGTCATTTCTTCCCATCTTCAATAACATTTTCACAACTTATTAAATTTTTACCTTCTCTTTAATTAGCCATTTAACAAATTTGAAGTCATAGGGTTCATCCTCAGTGCTCTGGTCACTGAAGTCCACCTCTGTCAAAAAATAAAAGTTAGTCATAGATACACTATGTACGCTAATAAACATAATGTCTTTATTATTAATACATATGTATATGTGTATATATACACATAAGTGTTTGCACTTACAGATAATAATATTATGTTTTATTATACTGTAGCCTTTCATATCTCCATATTAGTGACACTCACTGACAGAGGAGATGTCTGTGATCATAAAATATCCTCCCTCTGGCATGATGGGCTGCAAACCCACACTCTCCAGACATGAAGCTAGCTTCTTCCTCTTGTGATTCAGCATCGCAGGCAGCTGCTGGAAGTAGCTCTCTGGAGTCCCAAACAGCTCATATTCCCTCTCAAATCCCTGAGCCACTGCCTCCTTATGAAGGCAGGAATGGATGAAAAGTCCAAAAGATTGATATAACTCAGAACTCCGAAGATCATTTTTGGAGGCACATGTAGAAGAACTTCATAAAAGACAAAATTTCTGACACAAATCAGCAGGACGATACTTTGATTTTAAGAATCAAGATTAAAAGTAGAAGCAGCAGAAGCAGATTTTTCATTTTAAGCCTGTTCTGATCAAATCTTATGAAGTAATGTTTTATTGCAAAAATATGGTTCACAAGCAAATTACTGGTGTGTTTACCTGAGCAGCTGTTGCACAATCAAACACAGACATCTGATGCATGGCTTTCATGTGTTTCATGATATGCCCAGAGCTGATGGCCCAGCCAACCTGAAAAGAAAGAACATGTGATCATAACAACGTGCAGTTAAGACGAACACACGACTTGAATACTGAGACAGTCTGTGCATTACCTTCCAGCCAGTAGCACTAAAGGTCTTTCCACCGCTGCCAACAGTGATGGTTCGTTCCCACATCCCAGGAAGACTGGCTGTCAATATATTAATACAATGAATATATTAATAATGCAGCTTTATACAATCTGATGAGCTCTGTCTGTATCTCATCAGTGGGAGATGAATGTTTTAGATGGAGTAATCAATGTATTAAGTTTGGGTTAGGGGGTATTGATTTTTATGGTAGAAGGAAGTAGAAGAATCTGTTGATAGTCACACTGTCAGATCAAAGCACCATTGTGTCGGTAAATTCTTCAGAGAACTACCAACTCTCAATCTTTTATAAGAATTACTCCAACACACCTATCTTTACATGCTTGACTCCATCATAAGTCAGCCACTCGTACACCTCATCGCTGATGCACAGCACATCATGTTTGATGCACAGATCAGCGATCATTTGGAGCTCTTCGGCCTTGTAAACCTGTAGGAGACATGAAGTCCAAGACACATTATATCCAGTAAAAGAAGAAAATGTGAAGTTTAACAGTTCAACAAATAATTTTCTCAACCTTTCTGCAAAATCTCTGAGCACATCAAACCTTCTCTCAGCAGTCCATCAACCAGTTGGCTTTTAAAGAGACACTATAGTCTATTAATGTCTTACTTTGCCTAATGGGTTGTTGGGAGTGTTGATAACAATGGCTTTTGTGCGTGGAGTGAATTTACTAGCCAGCTCCTCTGCAGAAAGAACCCAGTCTCCACTTGACAGGACGCCCTTGCCCTCAGCTTTCTGTAAGTAACAAAATAAATCCTTGAAGGCTGATGGGAAGGTGAGAAAAGCTTGCAACAGTCTCTTTATAACTCTTGAGTAAACCACTCACCGGCCTCAGAGGTACATACACTGCCTTTCCTCCAGCCATCTTCACCATTGGCTGGTAGCAGTCAAAGAACGGTTCAACAATTATAACCTGAAAGACACATTTTGGTTTTCTTGATCTCTTAGCTTATACTTGTTAGTAATATTAGGAGAAATTAGGAGAAATCCCCATCCATAATTTGTTTACATTTTGCAAGAAATGTTTGTACCTCATCCCCTTCATCAACCAGAGCTTGAAATGCACAGAAGAGAGCCTGATAAGCTCCAACTGTGACCAGGATGTCTTCAAATGGATCGATCTCATGTCCCACAATCCTACTGAAGAATTTAGCCAGACTTTTTACAAGAGGCGGGTGGCCCTGAGGAATGAAATTACATGAAAACATAAGCCGTCTCTCACTATTTGTTCTGCATCTATTTGTTGAAAATAACTAAACTGGAACCTCAGGATTTGGGAAATTCCCAGGAAAAAGCAGCATGGTTTCTCTTAGCACTTCTCTGACATTCATAGAAAGATAAAGTGTGTATTTCCACTTACAAAAGCTCGGGTATACTGATGCATTAGGGGCCCTCCATTCACAGCTTTACAGAAAGCCTCCTGGACAAACTTTGGAGGGGAAAAGTCAGGAAATCCTTGTCCGAGGTTCACTGCTTTGTAGTCTGCTGCCAAGTTGTGTGAATTCAACCCTGTTGGTACAAAACTGCTTGTCAAGCGTTGCAATGACATCACAATTATCTGTAAATGTTAATAGAGGCGTATAGGAAGTATGAACATATTCTAAATAACAATATAGTATGTAAAAGATCATGTAAGGCCTTTTGAGGCACATGTGCTCCTGCCATTTCATCAAATCTATATAATCAATCAATCATAAATAAATAGTAAATGACGATAAGAAATGCTTTAGAATAAATGCTTATAGGACTGTCATTGAGAGCGTTCATCAACTAAAATACCCAAATATCAATGATGTTTACATACTGGAGGGATTAAAACAGTAACTGTGAAAAGAAACCCACTTATTTCCACGTATGCTTTCATCTGAAAGTAACAGATTTGGTTTGTTAATCGACAGAAATTTGTTGTTTTTATAGGATGATCATTTAAGACCTACTTTCCTGAATCCACAGTTGTAATATTTTAGAGCATAATACAGTAAAAAGTTATGAAATGCAGTTAAAGCTGCAAGATGGGACTTTAATTATTTGTTGATTCTGGGAGCCTCTGTGGACAAAAGTGGTAGTGTTTCTACTCCATAGGTTTATTGATTTCAAGGGAAATCCAACCAAATCTGACCCAGTTCCATGTAATACAAATATATAGAAACAACCAATCTTCTCACTGAGAGTCTTATTTGTTTATGTAGGTCACACAGAGGCATCCGTATTAAACTGAGACTGTTTCATAACCAGTTAAAAACTCTTTGTAATATGTTCAAAGAGTATAAACATGAAACACGTCCAACTATCTGATTAGTTGTAGATTATATGAAACCTGCTGTCGTATTTTTTCTCTATTTTGTCGCACAATTATTAATGCTGCATTTAAGTGTAAAAGTTGGGTTTTCATTCAATGAGAGTAAATCAATGAATAAAGCAATAAAATAACAGAAAGTCAAGGGATCATGTTGCTGTAAGAAGATATTTTAGGACATATGATCAAGAAGATGGGTGGATTTAAAGCTGAGGAAGTACAGCTTCCTGACAGGCTCAACTCAGGGTTTTACTTCAGGGTTCCCTATGCATTGTTCTATCGCTCTGAATGATTAAAAACTGTTTGCTTACAAGCTGACTGAACTAACCTGTTGTCTGTATAGTTAATAGCCCATAAACTCAGGCGTAGCTCAGGTGTCAAAGGTCCACCTGTGTCATTACCACTTACCAAACGTTTTTAACGACACGGTCTGTCCTGCGTGCATGAAGCCGTCCTGACATGATTATCTGAAATAAAAGCACAGTTAAAGTTCGCCAAAAGCCTCAATTATTATATGATTGTCTCTTCCGTACAGCGGCTGCACCCACCTGTTAATGGCTTCTAATTGAACTCAGACAGAGAGTCAAATTTACCACAACCTTCAGTCGCCTCCACCCCTCCTTCCCTCCCCTGACCTTTCAACCCTTTGTACCTTTATATGCTGACATTTTGGTTTCCTTTTAATAATTCTTTATTGAATGAAATGCAGAGTCATGACATCTAAATAATATCAGGGTCAGGTAACGATGCAGTCTGCAAGAAACAGTAAGAATGTTAAAACTAATAATATACTCATTTACAGCCTTTACAGCTTTCTTAATTGTGCAAGATTTTATGGTGTTTCTGCTCCGATTGTTCATGGAAAATGGCTTCTTTTGTTGGTGAATTTACTTCAACGTCTCTACCCTTTTTGTTTTCATTTCTACATAGATAATTTTTCTCTTAAATTTCTTCACAGACACCATTAAAACGCATTCCTGTTGTCAGCAGTGTGCTGACAACAGGAATGCTTAGAACAAACTCCCAGTTCAGGTTGGTCACCAACGCTCATATTAAATATGTAACAAGATGTGAGTATTTGTGAAGTAGATATAGCTGAAATAAAAGAGCTTTACCATTACTGCTATTGACCCTGTTGGTCAGTATAATCTGATGGAATTAATTTACAATTAACACTCTAGTAACATTTGCTGCAATGCTTGGAAATCTGTTTTTTTGTTTCACAAATTGAACTGTAAATAAGACACTTCATGACTGTATATTCAAATATTCGCTGTTAGGTTGGAGTTCTTTCTGTTTCATACTGTTTATGTGGACATTCAAGGACTATAATATACACATTTCCTTTATACGGCATGAGCCAAACACTTAGCCAATAAAGCACAGAGACGAGTCAATAACAGGGATTTATTTGGTGGATGGGAGTTATATTCTTTGAAAAATCAAAAACATGTCTGCCCTTTCTACCCTGCTCTCAATACAATTTTTGAACAAAGGAACAGAGAATAACAAAGAAAATTAAACGTGGATTTATTAAAAGCTTTATTACATTTTTGTGAGTTTGATTCAAGACAAATATCTGCACAGATATACGGTTATATTTCTTAATATTTAAAAATATTTTCTTTATCAGTTTTCTGCTTACGGTCATTGCACAGGAACAATCACAAGGATTTTTTAGTGTTTTCACATTTTAACAATTGCAGTATAAGGACAAAGTGAAGGTGGACATAGGGGTGGCTTTTAAGTACACTACTGTGACGCAATCACACACAGAAACACTCAATATGGCTCGTTTTAACTGATGAGGTAACCCAAGCGGTTTTAAGTAGCCTGGTGAAGTCTGAGTGGACGGGTAACGCCTCCTATCAGGGACTACTTTACTGCCCTTGACTCCACTTTCTCAAGATATCCTCTGCTGCATCCAGAGTGGCGTCCTCCTGTGAGACAAATACAGCGAGCCTGAGTGAGAACGACTGCCGAACAGCAACACAGTGTGAAAATAATGTGTAATTTCACTTAATTTGGTTGGATTTACCTTCACAAAACAGAATCGGATGTATTTGTCGAACTCCTTGCTGTGCTCTGGGCTGTAGAATGCCGAGACGGGGATTGTTGCTAAACCCTGCAGCAAGAAAACCAAATCATATAGAAAGAATTAGGAAAACCAGAAAAACAATATTCTAAATATATATAGAATATATTTTTTTTTTTTTTTTTTTAGGAAAACTATATATAAAAACAATATATATATATATATATATATATATAATATATATATATATATAATATATTATATATATATATAATATATATATATATATTATATATATATATAATATATATATATATATAATATATTATATATATATATATATATATATATATATATATATATATAAGTGAAATAAGTGTTGTGTATATACACTATATACAGTTTTTATACAGATGTGATTTAAGTTCAGATAGAATATTGCAGGAGGTAGTGGCATTATATAATAAATGCACCAGACAAAAAAAAAAATATATATATATATATAAAAAAATATATGATATATATATATATATAATAATATTTATATATATAATATATATGTATATATATAATATATATATATATATATTATATATATATATATATTATATATATAAGTTATATATTATATATATATAAGTTCAGATATATATATATATATATATATTATATATATATATATATATCATATATTTTTTATATATATATATATATTTTTTTTTGTCCGGTGCATTTATTATATAATGCCACTACCTCCTGCAATATTCTATCTGAACTTAAATCACATCTGTATAAAAAAAAACTGTATATAGTGTATATACACAACACTTATTTTATTTTGTTATTTAATGTGTATTTCTTTTTTTCTTGTCTGCTATGTTCTATCTGGAGCTGCTGTAACAAGTGAATTTCCCCAGTGTGGGATCAAAGTCTTATCTTATCTTAAATAGAAACACATACACAAATGAAATTCACAAAAACACTAATAAAACACTTGGATCACTGCTTAAAAATTAATGAATTTATCCATCTTCAATTTATGCTATTAAGTATTATTAGTATGCTTAGTATTTACCTTCTCTTTTGTCAGCCATTTAACAAATTTAAAGTCATTGGGTTCATCCTTACTGCTCTGGTCATTGTAGTCCACCTCTGTCAAAAACAAAAGCCTAACCATTAATTACACAGCACTAATCAGAGAATAAACAGGGGAAAAAAGATATTAAAGTTATTTTATTTCAAGCAATGATGGATGCAGATGTTTGTTCTTCACTCACTGACAGAGGAGATGTCTGTGATCATAAAATATCCTCCCTCTGGCATGATGGGCTGCAAACCCACACTCTCCAGACATGAAGCTAGCTTCTTCCTCTTGTGGTGCAGCATCGCAGGAAGCTGCTGGAAGTAGCTCTCTGGAGTCCCGAACAGCTCATATTCCCTTTCAAATCCCTGAGCCACTGCCTCCTGATGAATGAGAAGACCAAAACCGGATGTACAAAAGTTCAAATGACAAATGTGACACATGGAGGCACATTTGATAAAGCAAAATAATAATATCCTCAACATTTTCTGCTTATTTCTATATGCTAGAAGATTTGTTGGAGTTAAAGACTGTAAAATTCTTAAATTAAGATGTACAGATCATATTTAAACCCAGATTTCCCCCTCATACTTTATTTACCGTCTAACTTTAATTAAAAAGGTGGAAAGAAACATGTCTTCTAATAATTTCACTGACAATGTCCACACTATCAAATTAAATTAAAAAGTTCTAGATGATTAGCATGGCATTTGGTATTTTTGTAAGCTTTGGTATTGAGGCTTGAGTTTAAAATAAACGTTCCTGGCCATTTAAAATGGTTAAGGACTGATATATTTACCTGAGCAGCTGTAGCACAGTGGTAAACAGTGTTCTGATGGATGGTTTTCATGTGTTTCATGATATGCCCAGAGCTGATGGCCCAGCCAACCTGAAAAGAAAGAACATGTGATCATAACAACGTGCAGTAAAGACGAACACACAACTTGAATACTGAGACAGTCATTACCTTCCAGCCAGTAGCACTAAAGGTCTTTCCACCGCTGCCAACAGTGATGGTTCGTTCCCACATCCCAGGAAGACTGGCTGTCAATACATTAATATAATTAATATATTAATAATGCAGCTTTATACAATCTGATGAGCTCTGTCTGTATCTCACCTATCTTTACATGCTTGGTTCCATCATAGGTCAGCCACTCGTACACCTCGTCGCTGATGCACAGCACATCATGTTTGATGCACAGATCAGCGATCATTTGGAGCTCTTCAGTCTTGTAAACCTGTAGGAGACATGACATGAATGTGTGGCAGGTGTTTATGTACAAAAGCACTTTTTATCCAGTAAAACAACGAAAATGACTTAAAAGTTAAATGACTGAATTTCAGACAGGTTGCATCAACCAGCTGGCTTCAAAAGAGACACTTTAGTCTGTAAATGTCTTACCTTGCCTAATGGGTTGTTGGGAGTGTTGATAACAATGGCTTTTGTGCGTGGAGTGAATTTACTGGCCAGCTCCTCTGCAGAAAGAACCCAGTCTCCACTTGACAGGACGGCCTTGCCCTCAGCTTTCTGTAAGTAACAAAATAAATCCTTGAAGGCTGATGGGAAGGTGAGAAAAGCTTGCAACAGTCACTTTATAACTCTTGAGTAAACCACTCACCGGCCTCAGAGGTACATACACTGCCTTCCCTCCAACCATCTTCACCATTGGCTGGTAGCAGTCAAAGAACGGTTCAACAATTATAACCTAAAAGACACATTCCTGTCAGTTCTTTATTTTCAAATGTTATTAACCATATAATTGTGGAACTGAAACTAGAGTATGTAGCACTTTTACACACAGTATCTGTAGCAAACGGCATTAGTTTCCCCCAATTCTTATAATTTTTTAACCTGTGCTGAGCACCGTGGGGAGGAGTTTTATCAGAGAGTAAACCAAACATACACTACATTCAAACACTTTTACGTGTTTGCTGTTTTGTCCTGACTTGGGTTGATTTTCGTACCTCATCACCTTCATTAACCAGAGCTTGAAATGCACAGAAGAGAGCCTGATAAGCTCCAACTGTGACCAGGATGTCTTCAAATGGATTGATCTCATGTCCCACAATCCTACTGAAGAATTTAGCCAGATTTTTTACAAGAGGGGGGTGGCCCTGAGGAGAGAAATTACATGAAAACATAAGGCGTCTGTCACTGTTTGATCTGCATCCATTTGTCCTTTTATTACCAGGTAAAAATGTCTGAAATCATTCTAACATGATGAACTAAAAGTAAGAATGCTTTATAGAAAGATAAAGTGTGTATTTCCACTTACAAAAGCTCGGGTATACTGGTGCATTAGGGGCCCTCCATTCACAGCTTTACAGAAAGCCTCCTGGACAAACTTGGGAGGGGAAAAGTCAGGAAATCCTTGTCCGAGGTTCACTGCTTTATAGTCTGCTGCCAGTTGTGTGAATTCAACCCTGTTGGTACAAAACAGGTCAGACACTGCTGCTTATACGTTATGTACTCTGCTACCACTGCTCCTGCAAACGTTTCAACAAAACTAAATATTTACATAAAGGATTTCTGTAGGAAACATTGTCTAAGAACTTTTAGAACGGGTAAGTGAGATAAAATTATTGATCAGTTCACCCAAATTACAAAAAAGATAAACAAATTGTTTCTATACATATCTATTAAGACATGCAGGTAGTTTGGGCTTTTTTTTTTTTACACTCAAATATGAATTACTCTTTTGCAAAGCATCAAAGGAAGGTAAAAGATTTTTAGTTTCATAATGAAAAGCACCGAATATTTCACTGTAAAGACTTTTGGGCTGTTTCTTTGCACAAGTGGAACCTTAAAGCTATCATATGTTGGTTGTTTCGGAAGTGAAAAAATAAATAAATCCAGTTTTAAGAATATCCGTGTGAAACTACATGATACATTGACGCTGCATTTAAGTATAAATGTGGTATTTTGATCATTTAAAAGGCAATTGTAGGCTATATTAAAATAACTTGACCCCACCCCCAAGCTAGATATAACACAAATATAATTATATCAAGGTTATAAAATGGGAATACGGTTGGGTTTACACTCATCCAAGTAGAGAACATGTATGAAGTTTAAAGTCAGGCTCCAAATGTTTCTCTGGAAAAGGAAAGTTTCACTTCATGAATAACACATTGCGTGATTTCTCTTGCACAAGGGTTTAATCCTAAAGCCTATAATTTAACTCTACTATGTGTCAAACACATAGCGTTATGTCCTTTTGTTTATCACCACTTACCAAACGTTTTTATCGACACCCTCTGTTCTGCTTGCATGAAGTTGTCTCGACATGATTATCTGAAATTTAAAAAAAAAAAAAAAGCTCATTTTAATGTGCACCATATGCTGCAGTATAGAAGTGTCTCTTACGTTTAGTGCACTCACCTTGTGATGATTTCTAACTAAACTTTGACGAATTACAGTCAAATGTGCGACAATATTCCTGATTATTCCCATCAATCGAGGATCATCGCTTCAGAGAGGAGTGCACAGGCTTTTATATCACCCGTCAAAAGTCCATATGGAAAAAATTACAGTGCACTTAAAAAATAATTTAAAGTGAGTTGATCCTCCTGCTCTACTACCCCTGTGGCTATATTTAAAACAAGCGCAGTACAAGTGAGCGGGGACCCGTACTTCAACCTCCTGGAGTTTTCATGTCTAACGTTGCTTCCTGTTTAGCTTCGTAGTTACCCGGATGTAAACTCGGTTCTATGAATGAGAAGTGCGCAGCCTTCTAACGGTTATTAAAACTAACGTTACATAAACGGCCATGTTGTTACCTAACACCGCTCAACACATCATTTGTGTCAAATACAACCAGTTCAGGCAGCGACTATACAGTATGTTACACGATAAGTGATTAAAAAAATGAATATTAGCATTTAAAAAGAAGTAGTTCCAGGGTTGATAGCTGGTTGCCTGGCAACCTCAAAGCGACGACGAGTTTCTAGTCACTGCGCCTACCAAAGAAATAGTCCGGCACATAACACCCAGATATAAACACAACTGGTCGTTTCTGTACAGATTAAATTAGTAATACTTGTTAAATTAGCTTTAAAAGGTGCTTATAGGTTGATTTTTTCCCCCCAAACTGTAATGCTCTTCCTTTACAAAACTTGATATTTGGTCGAATAAATTATACAACAGGAGGTTTCAATTCATGTTCATCGTACTGAAGAATCACATTTTATTTACCACAACACACATATTACTCCTTAACTTGGATATCAAGTAAATAAAATCATACTCCCATAAAAAGAGACTGATTTCCTGATTTGCCTATGTTGTCTTGTCATAAGACATCATATAAAGACACACTCCTTCCTCTATACTGACACTTTTTTCAAGTCCTCGGGCAGAACTCTGCCCCTCTTCCGCGCCCTGTCCTTCTTCTTCTCTGTCTTGACTTGTTTGCGTTTCTGGATGTTCTTTCGTCTCTTTTCCTGACGTTGCTGCATCTTCTCTACGATGTTCTCACTGCGCTTGTTCCAGTTCTTCTTCCTCTCCGTGCGCTTCTTCTCCTTCCTCTTCAACGAGGAGCGCAGCATGTCCTCGTCGTCTTTGATTTTGATGCCCTCTGCCTTATAAAGCATGTTGGTCCACTTCATCTTCTCCTCCAACTCGCGGGCTTTCCCCTCGTCTTTCTCCCTCAGCTGTTCCAGCTTTGTTTTGCGGGCCTCCACACGACTCAGCAGCTGCTTGTAGTTCTTCCCTGTCAGCGGCGTTATCTGGCCCTTCATACTCTGTTTCTTGCTCTTCTTTTTCTGCATTTTGTCTACATAGCCCTCTTCCACCGTCTCCACCGTGTTGAAAATGATGGCAGCTTCATTTCTTTTGCTGACGGCCGGGGCTTCCTCTGCTTCCTGTTTTATCTCCGGCTGCAGTTCTTGGCCACTTTTTTCAGCCAGTTCTTTCATCCGAAACTCTTTCCTCTTCCTCTTCTTGCGCTCCCGTTCCATCTTTCGTTTCGCTCGCTTTGCCTGGACTGCCTCTGATAATGCATTCTTTGGGGCTCCCTGAGAAAAGATGAGTGTAACATGTTACTCTGACATACTTAAATGTTAAACTACTGCACACACTACTCTGTTTTATAATCCCACACATTGAGCCTAACAGCACCAAATCCAAACAACAGAAGAAACAGGACCACATGACTCTCCTCCTTCACTGTGCTATCTGGTGTGTCAAACTTTACTGCTTTCCCAACTAAGTTAAACTCTAAATAATGCAACTGTCAAGACACAAAACCTTTGTAGCTGCGGCATGTAGTGACACAGGAACAGTAAGACATCTGGAGCAAGTGACAGAATGAATTACGGCCTACCAGCTGCTGAGAATTGAATACATTATTACACATTAAACATTTCCTTTACTGTATTTGATGTTGCATGTGATCACCCAGTTTGCACGTGTTCTGTAATTAGCATCTTAAACAGAACACAGAGACTCTGCATAACATCAAGGTGAAGTCAATACTGACTTGTATTGCTGGTTTTAAAAACAGTAGGTGGAGTTTATATATGGTTTTCTCTCATTGTCTGCACCATCTTTAAAATACTACAAACCTGCCCTCTGGACTCTTCGATCTTTTCATGTAGTCTCTTGCGTAGGACATCTACTGTGGAGAAGTTGGACTGTGCATTTCCTCCTTTAAGAATAAAATAAATTAAAATAAAATATGACTGAAGCAAACATCAACAATTTTAATAACAATGCAGTATGAACATGTGAAAATCAAATCGTCTCTTGGACAGGGGGACAGGCTTGTATACACTTACTGTACCTTTAGGCGGCTGTGCTGTGGATCCATTTATGCTCTGAGTTTTGGACCCGCTCAGTACTGCTGGGCCTTTCTGTGCTGCAGCAAAGGGTGAAGGCTTTCGTTGGGATTTAGGAGTAGGCGTCTTCTCATCTGCGCTCTTTTCTTTAAAATGCTTCTTTTTACACTTTTTGTTCTTCTTTGGAGGACCAGTGTCACTTTTACCCTTGAAATAAGCTACACACAGACAAACACGACACATATATGAATTATTACATATATATTCAACACTATAATGTCAATTGGACTGCCATGGTTCTCAAACTACAGCTGCCAGATTAGGAACTTGAAACATGCTTAGGTAATGCCATGAAATTAAAAGAACAGATCAGATGGTTTTCTGTAACCAAAGTGGGTTTTAACAGCTCATAGAAAAATTTTAAAATGTTAAAGTTAGCCATAAACACAGACACAAACTAGTTTCAAACATTTAATGTGATAGAGGTCTAAAAGGGCCTACACCATAGGATTTAGGAAAGCAGCAAAGAATAAAGAAAAAGTTAAATAAAGATAATTTTGCGTATTAGAATTTATTTTTTTTTTTTCCTACCTAGGCAATCACCTCAAGACCTATTGCTGCACATAACAACTAACAAAGACGTCAGTCACAAGTTCAATTGTCCAATGTATATGAGTTGTATGACAATTACAAACATTGTATAACTCATTTATTTTATTTTCAAAAACAAAACGAGAGAAAAGCAGCAAATAATCACATTTCAGGAGCTGCAAATAGAGAATATTTATTTTTTAAGTACCTAAATTATAAATACCGACTACTCTTTCCTATTTCTGGTAATTGTCATTTAGTACTACATCAGTTTTTAGACAGTAGCGCCTCTTTGAGTCAACTACAGCACTATCCAGAGGTTTGATGACACACATCGACTTGTAGATAACTGCTAACACATAAACTATAACAGCAATGTGTACAGCTACCGCACAGAAAAGAGTCAGTATGAAGAACAGAGTGTAAATGAGCCACAATGGTTAGCAAACATTACCAAAAGGTCTCTTCTTTGGCTCCTGCTCTTTCTGAGAAAAAACTGTACTTGCGAGTTTCTGGATGTAGGAGTCCTTGGAGGCGAGATCCATGTCGACCAAACTAACTTTAAATCCAGCTAAAACAGACGCACCATGACAGAAAACTCACTGGTATAAAAATATCAACACATTTCTGGACACACGTGGGTTAGACAAGACGGGACCGGAAAGGGAGGGGGCGGAGCGTCACCAACCCGGAATGTGTAACACCAGAAGCAGTCCCCCCTTCTGCTCAGCTGTCTGGTTGTTATGTAGTCGGTTGTCTAATCTTCTTTTAACCTTTTTTTCCATTGGGGTTTTGACTCAGTATGGCTTCTCTGAAATCAGCGCTGGCTTACTCCACCAGGGTGCTTGCTACGCTAAAGAAACAGGTAAATTATTTGTTGTATTTTTTTTATTTCTGCGTCTAAATATCCCAAAGGAACTTCTCTGTGTCTGGGGAAAGTCATTTTTTCTGAGCTGTGGCTGGTTTTCTGTATTTGCAGACACATGTCATTTACATCCAAAGGACTCTGTTTCAACCCAGACTGCCACTCTTCAAACGTGCAGACGGTAAAAACTAATTATATTCACTGTCAATGACATAATGATGACACTGGACTCCACTTTGTACTTTCTTAAAAGCAAATAATTCATGGTATTTAATTATGCCAGTGTAAACATAACGAAGAAGCTACTTGATTTTAGATCAATAAAATAATGAATTATAGTACAAACTTATTTAGCTTTAAAACCATTCTGTCAACAGAAGATTCCTTTAAGAAAACATCAATTAAAGGTTTGTTATCTATGGTATTTGGCTAACAAGTCAGGCCTAGATTTGTTAAAAGATTGGGTAAAAGTACAAATAATTTTAACTCATAAAAACATATAAATACAGTATGTTATAAAAATGTAAATGTGTTGCAGATTGAGCCTTACATCAGGTTTAAACTTGACTAAAACTGTGTGCCTCCATACATTATGTCTATATGTATATTGTACATTTCCAGGCAGGTTCATTCCCTTCTGGCGACAGTCCATCTCCACAGCAGCTGAAGCAGAGAAAGGAGAGGACTCTTTCCTCAAATGGTTCCTGCTGCTCATCCCTGCCACCACCTTTGGTCTTGGCACATGGCAGGTACAGCTTATTTACTTTGTGTTATCACAGTTTGTCTTTGGTTTGTTTCTGTTTGGATGGACTCGGATGCTTTTGTTTCTGTGAAGGTGAAACGCCGTCAGTGGAAATTGCAGCTGATCGACGAGCTGACGAGACTCACTACTGCAGAGCCCATTCCTCTTCCTCTTGAGTAAGTACATGTTAGATACGTTCGGTCTTATTCACTTAGGATTGAACAGCCGCTCACACAAGGACAGGTTGTTCAAAGCAGTACAATAAACCCAGCTATATCCCCTCCTGCTTTATGAAGCAGAAATATGCAAGTTCCTAAATGTTAGATCCAAAACTAACAAGTCTGTTTTAAAATCAATTAAAGGCTCAATGTGTAATATGTCAATGGCTTTAGACAGGGAGCAAAATAGGTAATTTACATATAAATATTGGCACCTACCTACATGTGTAAAATAGGCTTGACTTTAGACAAATACCCCAAATAATATCAATAAAATGGTAAAGAAATATTTTTAATGGTCATTCATACATATATATATATATATTTATATATATATATATATATATATATATATATATATATATATATATATATATACACACACTTTCTCTTTTTATCCATTGCAACACTAAAGAATTGTATTTATACTGTTATGTAAGCAAGCAATCTTCTCCAGCTTAGAAGCTGTAAACTGCATTGATTTGTGTTTTCGCCTTAAAAAAAAGGGGACTTTAATAACTTTATATGTATGTATTGAAACCCTGAAGCTTTGAAGCTACCACACTGCAAATAATAAACAAATCCTCCTCTTACAACTGAGGGTGGCACTCAAAATCTGTATCTATGTTACCTATCAATGTGAAGATTTGCATGTCATTTTTCTCCCTGGATCTTTAGTCCTCATGAGCTGAAAAGCCTAGAGTACAGAAGGGTGAGGGTGCGCGGACAGTTCGACCACTCACAGGAGCTGTATATTCTGCCCCGCTCACCAGTCGACCCAGAGAAAGAGGCCAGAGAGGCAGGCAGGCTGTCTTCAAGCGGAGAAACTGGCGCAAATGTCATCACTCCGTTCCACTGTACTGACCTCGGGTAAGACAACAGTGGAATTAACCTGGAGTAATAATGCTTCTATGATAATATAATAATATAATAACTGCATCTTACATCCAACACTCACTGATCTTTGTCACCTTCACCTGCAGCATCACAATCCTGGTGAACAGAGGATACGTACCAAGGCAGAAAATAAGACCGGAGACCAGGATGAAGGGACAGGTTAGTATTTCAGATGTGACACATGAAGTACCTTTATTATAAGAGTACTCCAACTTTTTAACATTGTATTCCCCATAGCAGTGTCCGGCTCACAATGGACATTTGAAAAGAAAACATAAAAGGATCTAAATCAACAGAAGCATAGTCTTTTTATTCCACACATTCCTTTTCCTTATAAAAACCATGTGCCTACATTACCCACAATGAATGCAACTCAAACACTGGCAGTTTAGGTGTGTTATGATAGTAGCAGCTAATCTTTCCATGTGACGTCTCAGCTACAACCAACATGATAAAATCAGTTTATATAAAAGGAAACAGCTACACATTAGCTTCCCTCATTCATACTTATATGTCCTTTTCAGATTAATTTAACAAACTGTAAAAATGCTTATGTGCAGGTGGAAGGGGAAGTGGAGGTGGTCGGGGTAGTTAGGCTGACAGAGATACGCAAACCCTTTGTGCCAAACAACGATGTGGAGAGGAACCGCTGGCATTACCGCGACCTGGAGGCCATGGCCAGCCTCACTGGAGCTGATCCCATCTTCATTGACGCTGACTTCAGTAAGATCTCATGAACACCAAAGTCCATGATGCTCTTTGGCTCAACTACATCCTAGTGAATATCACATTAAATATAGGACTGGCTCATACACTTGGTAATAATTATTCTGCATGTGTTCAGAAAAGAGAACTGTTAAACACACTGGCATCATGTTAATTGTAGTGCTAAAGTAAATGAAAGTATCTTGTATCATGCAGGGAGCACCATTCCTGGTGGACCAATAGGGGGACAGACCAGGGTCACGCTGAGGAATGAACACATGCAGTACATAATAACATGGTAGGTGGCAGCTTTCTTTATGAATTAACTACAGTTCTGAGACTAAATCTTGGATGCTGTTTGATGTAAATAATCTGCTGTTATTTTTTCCCCTTAGGTATGGCTTGTGTGCAGCTACCTCCTACATGTGGTTTGCGAAGTTCATAAAGAAGATTTAAGTGATACAACATGCAGTGAAATTGTTGCAATACTTCAAACAAATCCAGGAAATCTTGCTTAATAATGTCAAGCAGTGCAGATAACCTTGGAAAAAGACAAAGGTACTCCATCTGTAAATTGATATAATCAATTTATACTGCAAGATTTCCAGCATTTGTTTTTGTATACCTCCCCCTGCTCAACTAAAGAGCACCTATCAGAGCCTCAAATACTCTGGATTCCTACTATATTGGCTTCAAGCTGCATATATTAATGTAAATAGCTGTGGATTATTCTCCTGAATCATGTTTGAGAATAAATTAATATAAGTTGATTTTGGCTCCTGTATTTCTCATTCTTTAGTGTTTAATACTGATGGGAACTATAGGTGAAATACTAAACAGAATGAATGCTCTGCATTTATACATTAGTTTGTCTTAAGTGATTTATAGTTACTCTCTCAAGAGGTCTGATTCATTAACTCATTTTGATGTACAATCTCAATTCAGTCTCAAGTTTACTGAATGATGTCAATTCAAGTTAATGGTTTAGACCATTTCTCCCAGAAATGATTCAGTTTTTCCTTTCAAATAAGTTTTAAATGTCGTTATTTCAGTTTCTGTATTTTCCATAAGTTGCTTCTCTGTAAAACTCATCTCACTCCTTTTCCTAACAACCGTTTCTATTTATATACTAAGTCCAGCACTAGATTAACTGATTACACTTTAGTCTTAATAGCATCATTTACACCTCAGATAACAAGAGTACTGCAATACAACTTCTAATCCACACTTTCTAGTAAGTACAGTACTGTATTGAAGAGTCCAATTTAAACCATATTGTCCTAACATTAGTGAGGAAAATGAATCTATAGTATAACTGTGTTCCAAAATATATTTAGTTGTAACAGTAAAGACAGTCTTAACACCATTAGGACATACATTTTTTATTCCAAACAATTTAACCAAGCTTGGTAGCCAGTTCCTTGGCCTTTGCCTTCTCCAACTTGGTGATGCGGGCTGTGGACTTGGGGCCCATGATGCCGCCTCCCCAGTGACGACGGATCTGGAAAAAAACACAAGTATGAAGAAGGTTAAAATGGTGATATTTGTGCATTGATAGCAATATGCAACTTCGCTCATATGGAGAGACTTTAGTAAATGAACGCTCACCTCCTCATATCTGTCGTTGTAGTTGGTCTTGATGGCTTCCACAAGCTTGGCAAGTGCACCTTTATCCTCACTAGGAGAGAAGAAATCTAGTTAATACAATGCTCACAATGTTTAGAGAGATGGAGATACAAGGCATCACTGAGTCAACAGTCACAGCAACTTCGGTATAACGTAGGTAATCTATAAATATCGGTAGGCTTTGGAAAGCCTAGAACTTTGCTCCTGTCTCAATATTGCATTTAGTCTTTGAACATCCAGTAAAATTAATGACTTGGTCTTGTATGTGTGATTCTTATTGGAAACCTCTGCTGCAGAAAACTGCAGTGTAATAACATTTCTGAAGACATGTATTTCTACATATATTCCAGACTAATAGTCACAAATGTTAGTTAAAAAAAAACTGGCAAAATCTGTCACACAGCTCAGTCAATGTGCAAACTTACGGGTTTGTCTGTGTGAAGGCAACTGAAGTGCATGTCTTTCTGTGCACCAGTCTGCCCAGTCTAGCCTTGCCCTTGACGATGCAGTATGGGACGCCCATCTTGCGGCACAGAGCTGGCAGGAAGACGACGAGCTAGAAAAGCAGGAGAACAGCAGAAGAAATTAGTATTAAAGTAACACTATATACACTTTT